AACCCTTAACCAAATCCAATTAATCCTTAACCAGGTCCAATTAGTCCTTAACCAGATCCAATTAACCCTTAACCAAATCCAATTAACCCTTAACCAAATCCAATTAATCCTTAACCAGATCCAATTAACCCTTAACCAAATCCACTTAACCCTTTTCAGTGAATACCTCTTCGATTTTCATGTTCTCCTGATATTTTTTGGTTAAGGGTTAATTGGATTTGGTTAATGGTTAAGTGGATCTGATTAAGGGTTAAATGGATTTGGTTAAGGGTTAATTGGATTTGGTTAAGGGTTAAGTGAATTTGGTTAAAGGTTAATTGGATTCGTTTAAGGATTAAGTGGACTTGGTTAAGGGTTAATTGGGTTTGTTTAAGGGTTAATTGGATTTGGTTAATGATTAATTGGACTTGGTTAAGGGTCACATGGGGGCAAAAAATTTAAGTGACTCCATAAAATTAAAACCTCCAACCATTTTAGTACTGACCCCACAAAAGGGAGGGCATGCCAATCTATTTTTTGGGGTAAAATTTTTTGGGGTGTTGTGAATCATCAGAGAGTACCCTCCATTGAAATTATCAATTATTCGCAGCCCTCTTGAGGTGAACATACAAAATATTCTTGAAGTCCTTGAAAATCGAGCCGCAGTTTATATACTATATAGATGCAGTCACAATTATTGAAGAGTCTACCATTTTGTCGTATTCACAAGATTATATTTCATTTGACAGAAAGGCACCAATAATGTTCTAACCCCAATACCTACTCCGCAGATAACAATTGCGCGACCGTACGTCAAATATCTCCAAAAATAATTCATCAATAGGAAGTGATCATAATTAACCCTTCAGCAAACTGGCTTTTGCAGGGGCCTTTAGATCATCATTCACTTCCTTCATGTGTTTCTCGATTTAATAATCAAGTGTGATCATAGTTTTTTATAAAACTACATCGAAAAATGGCCGGTGGCACGATATTGCAGGTATTTATCATTCCCATTCGTAGTGTCAGGGGAATAATGTGCCGATTTCGTTGTCACTAATGCCCCCGATCTGTTTTGTTTTCTCCTGTAATGCAGAAAGCCATTGATTTGGTGACAAAGGCCACTGAAGAGGATAAGAAGAAGAATTACGAGGAGGCATTGAAGTACTATGAACACGCAGTCGAGTACTTCCTTCATTCCATCAAGTGTTAGTCATCATTCATTGCCTAACGTTGACCCAAAGTATTTGATCATATGCAAGTGGATCAATCTTTCTCATGCCAAAAATATCGAATTTCATTTATCTGACTTTAAACAACTCAAGGCAGTAGTTTAACGATCGGCTAAACCAACATTAATTGTAAATTATTAAAATTCACAGTAAATTGAAATTCTTCTGTAGATATTCTTTATTATTTCTTAACAATATATAATATTTCAGTTTATTGTCATTTATCTCTTCCTTTTCGGTCGAAAAAAATCTCGGGAATATATATTGTAGCACTGTAATATCTGCAATCCAATGAATAACTGAAATTTCATATTTAGACGAAGCCCAGGGTGAACGTGCGAAGGACAGTATACGACAAAAATGCCAGCAGTACCTCGACAGAGCAGAGAAACTAAAAGCCTACCTAAAGAAGGGCAAGAAGAAGCCAGTGGCCACGGGTGAGGAAGGCGCCAAGGAGGATAAGAAGAGCGACAGTGGGGATAGTGATTCCGAGGTTGACCCTGAGAAGAAGAAACTGCAGCACATGCTGGAAGGAGCGATAGTTGTGGAGAAGCCAAACGTCAAGTGGAGTGACGTTGCTGGTTTGGAATCAGCCAAAGATGCCCTGAAAGAAGCGGTCATCCTCCCCATTCAGTTCCCCCATCTATTCAAAGGCAAGAGAATGCCATGGCGAGGAATTCTGCTGTTCGGTCTTCCAGGCACTGGAAAATCCTACCTTGCTAAGGCTGTTGCTACAGAGGCAGGCAATTCCACGTTCTTATCAGTCTCTTCCTCGGATTTAGTCAGCAAGTGGCAGGGAGAGTCTGCCAAGCTCATCAAGAATCTGTTTGATCTCGCAAGACAGAGGAAACCCAGTATAATTTTCATTGATGAGATTGACTCCTTGTGCTCGTCGAGGAGTGACAATGAGTCAGACTCTGAGCGGAGGATTAAAACTCAGTTTCTGGTGCAGATGCAGGGGGTTGGCAGTGATAATGATGGGATTTTAGTACTGGGGGCTACTAACACACCCTGGGTCCTAGATGCTGCCATCAGGAGACGTTTTGAGAAACGTATTCATATTCCTCTGCCAGATGAGATCGCACGAGCTGCAATGTTCAAGCTTCATCTGAGGCAGAATGCTCATACCCTGACGGAGGAGGACTTCAAGCAGTTGGCGAGTGATTCTGATGGCTACTCTGGCGATGATATACGAGTAATTGTTCGCGAGGCTCTCATGGAGCCCATCAGACTTGTACAGAGTGCTACTCATTTCAAGAGGGTCAGTGGACCCTCGCCTAAAGACCCTTCGGTTATTGTCGATAATCTGCTAACTCCTTGTTCTCCTGGAGATCCTGGAGCTATTGAAATGAGCTGGACTGACGTCAAGAGTGATGAACTATTCGAGGCTCCAGTTACCATGGTAATTAATTCATTATTTAATTTTTCTTATTTTAAAAATTGTTCAAGTTGTGAAAATTTAAATAATTGAACCACGGGTCTAATAGAAACATTTGGAATGACAGTTATGTTGAATTCTAGCCACGAGCCTTCATTTATTTATTTATTTATTTATTCATTTTTTATTGCAGAAACACTTGTTAAAGGCTCTTGCAACGACCCGTCCAACTGTCAACCAGGAAGACATAACGCAATTAGAAAAATTCAGGGAGGACTTTGGCCAGGAAGGCTGAACGCCTTGGCAAAATATTTTTTATATGCCACCCAATTATCTCGCCTTACCAAGATTTTTATTTTTTATCTTAAATGGAAACTTGAAGAAAACTACTCTTGAATCAATGAAACGCCTGAATTGTTTTTACCCTCTTTTTGTCCTCCTGTTGATCTAGTAATTTTATCATGTAATTTTTGAAGAAAATGAAAACTAGATAGTTCTAATCTTGAGGAAGATACTAACAGATCATAATATTACTTGTAAATGTGATAACGGGAATTTAGATCAGCTGATCATAATTTCGTGTATTTATTTTGCCCCGAGAGCGAAGGAAAACTCACGAGTGGATAAAGTAAATCTATTATACATGTTTAACAATTCTACTTTATAACTAATGAAAAGAACAATGAAATTGCATTATATATGTATATTTATCTGTGACACACTAGAATAAATTCACCACTATTCTCCAATGTAAATTTTTATGATATCCCAAATAAAAGTGGCATGTCCAATACATCACATGACAGTTCAATAAAGCTTACAGCAATAAATATGTACAGAAATCAAATATCTTTGACATATCTATGTTAATACACATAATGTGATAAGACAACGCATTAATGTATGAATCTATTGAAAAAAAAATATTTCTACGATGAACAATGGCTCAAAAATTCGGTATCAGTGTATCCAATAGTTATGGTTATATCGTCCCTGAAAATCCGCACGACTTCGTTGGGTAACGTTAAAAATTGTGAGACTTTAGCATGGTCAATGCCATGATCTGTGCCCCCGAGGGCATTCCTGAGAAGGTGCGTGGCAGCATTATCATCCAAGGGTTTCTTCTTCAGCCCCTCTTTCCTTTCTTGCAGCATTCCGTTGATTTCAGACAGCTTCATGTTGGAAGTTGGGGGTTTCCATGAACTCAGCGTGAGCTTTCCCCGCATGTGTTCACCAACAAGTTGAACCGCTTCAAGAGGAGATAGTAAATCCCACAGACCATCAGTAGCAATTATCAAGAATTTGTCCTTTGGTGTTAGTCTGTGATACATCACCTGGGGCTTTGCCGTCAGGTAGGGGGGTGTGTGGTAATTCGGGGGTACAGCTCCATCCCCGTAATATGGCACTACTATCTTCTTCATTAATTCCTTGCTCCATTTGTATCGAAAGTCACCAAGAGCTCGGAGGGGGGCCAATTGGCCCAGGAGACGATCCATTTTTATTACTGTTCGACTCTCATTCTCTGGATGCTCTGACAGTATTCTCTCGACTTCTTCCCGATTGTCTGTGTTGTGTTCTACAGTCAGCAATTTCGCTGACCAACCTTCGTCTTCTGCACAGATTTTTTTTAAATATAAGACCAAATTACTCGAGCTCTTTCAGCCTTAAAAATATCGAGGGAATACTGTATTAAAATCCACGAGAAAATTATTCTATACCTGAGTACACCCCTAGAACTGCTTGACAATCTCCGACTCCAGCAACGTGAAGGTGAGGTCCATCAACATGAGCAACAACCGCTACAGCTCCTGACATAGCGACTGAAAGAGTTCTGGCATCGATTTGTCTTTTGACTTTTCTCAGAGCCTCATCAGAAATATCGTTGTCTAAGCTGAGAAAAGCCGTCTCCATATCGGATTCAATTCCACCGTTATCCCCATCTTTCTGAGACACTTTGCTGAGAAACGAAAGGAAACTTTCCCCGTACAGTTCTCCGATCTCTGGCACAAATTCAGTTTTGTTATGAAAACTCTCTAGGAGGTGATCTCGGAGCTGTTCCGGAGTCTTCGATTCTTTGAGGGTGTCAAGGAGAATCTCTTGAGGGAGTAAACACGCGGAAATGTAGTGGAGTAATCTTTTCGATACGACCTGAGCGCAGGAGTTGCCCCCGTGTCCATCAAAAATTCCGAAAAGTAATCCTGTAACAGTTAAGCAGTATCTTAATCTGATTATGCTCGGTGTTGAAAATGTCCATAAGAATTCCGGGAAGCGGGACTAAATTGATTCTTTTATACTCGAATAATGAATATTTTAAAAAATCATTGACAATGAAAGAGAAAAAATGAAATTTTAAGATTTTAGATACGTAATCCTCACCATTAGTCAACCGACACCTCCCCTCAGCCCTCGCATCCTCCAGAGGATTATTCGAGGCCAATTGATTACTATCATAATACTTAATCGGCTGTCCTCCCTCAAATTCTTGCGTAAACTCATTCGTCCTCAGAATTCTCGTCACCTTAAAAAAAACGAAAAGAGCTCAGTACCAACGCCTCAAAAAAATTGAAATAGCCGTCCCTAATTAATGAGCAATTGCACGTCTCAAACTTTGTATCGATCGATTAATTACCCTCGAACATTTGTCAATCTATTTCGGACGCATTGTTTACCTCCTCAGGCGTAAGTTTTGGCAATGACGCGTACCATCTAGCACCAGTTCTAATTCTATCACTAATTCTCCTTATGATGCATCCATTATTAAGCAGAATCCATCCACCTCTCATCACCATATCGTCTCGACTCGTCACTCGATAAAATCCCAGCAATTGACACAGTTTATTGTCCTCAGCCTCCGCTCTTTCGCCACATGGTTATCATATAGAAACTGGAGGTTAGAAAGATGATCTCGATCCCTTCCCAGATTGCTCCACCCATCCAAGATTAAATCAATTAACAAATCATCGGAATTTCCTCCGTTGATTAAATCCAACACCAATCACTCCACCGTAATTATCCCAAGTGCATCAAAACGACTGCCCCCAAGTCAACTGCAAAAAAAAAAATCATAACGAGTAATTTCATAACAGTTGTCTATAAATAGAACAGAGCTGTGCATGAATGATTCAAGGGCGAATATCAGCGAATGTCATGGAAAACTCGGATGAATGCAGGGCTGATTTGAAGGAGCAGGGAAAATGAAAAAACAAAACCCTCCAAGGGTTTGAGGGAGGGAGGGGTAGTTTACGCGTGGCTCCCTCTCAAACATTCGAAATATTCTTTTCACATACTCCAAAGTGGTGTCTTTCGCCCCAGCTGTTGCGGGGGAGGAGAAGTAGAAGCAGTGATAAGCCAGACCAGAGAATATCGGAATCTCAATTATTTTTACACTGATTGTTCGGTAAATAGGCTTAGAGGGTGATTTATGCGTGTGGGGCTCTTGGCGATATAAATATTATGGAAAGTGAGGAGCCAATTGATCCCAAGGAGCTCCTGGTCACCCTGAAGACCTACAGGAAACTCGCTGATGATTTTACCAACCATGACACTATTTTAAAGGTCAGGGTTTATTTTCATATGGATTGTCAAGGCTTTTGGCTTGGTTCTGTTTTGGCTTTGGATTTTTCCTGGTCCGTGGGAGATTTTTTCACTGGAGTATTGGTTTTTCAGGACAGGACAGTTCTCTCTTACCTCGCATACGTTCTCGATGTATCTGATCCTGATATTGTGGAGCTGGCGCTTGATATTCTCGAGATATTCACGAAAAATGTTGAAAATTATGTTCACATAACCTCGACTTTTGGGGTTCGAGAGGCACTCGAGGCTGTTATCAACAAGTATTGTATTGATGCACCGAAATTGGCGAAACAGGCACAGAGCGTCAGAGATGATATTGAGAGGATGAAACCGCCTATTTATAATTTGAGGAGTCGGTGTAGGAGAGTTATTGAACCAAAGAAACTCAAGACCCATGTTATTGTACTTCATGTCAGCGGATTGTTACCCGTGAGTCAGGCTGTTGGATGAAGTATTGATTATTGATAACTTTATGGCTAAAATTATTTTTTTTTTTTCTTTAAGGAAACCAGAGCTGAACTGGAGGCTACACTCATTAGGATTGAGGGTCTCATTTCGCTTGTTCTTGATGTCGAACATCAAAGGATCACTATGAGGACTTTAGTTAATGTTACTGCAAAATGTATTGCTGAGGCAATACAGGAGAACACTCAAAACATGGAGGCGAGATTAGTTACCAGAAATAAGTACAATCAAGAATTTTTAGTTAAGCTGGTGAGTATTTTGATGAGGGACTTTGAACTCTTGGTGTCTCATAACCACATGATGCAATTAGAACGATTTTGAGCTCATTTTAAGACTCGTAATTTACAGTTGAAATTGAAAAAATATATCTATGTCACTTTCGACAGTCGAGCTATTGAATAATAAAAATTTTCTTTATAAATCTTTTGTATGGTGGTCTTGATATTGGTTTTGTTTAATGATTTATTGCAGACTAGTGAAGAAAACGGAGAATCAAATGATTTTCCAGAATACTTGCCTGAAGATGATGACAACCAAGAGGACCAGAAAGAGGGGGTAGTGTCCCTATTAACAGGCCTGAAACAGAGCGCCTCAACTATCTACAAATCAACCGCTGAATTTTTGCACAATTCATTCTACTGGTGAATAACAGCTCGATCAATATATCCCAGATAAAATTGGATCAGTCGTTCCTACGCTCGAAGCAAACACGACTCTCTCACATCAGTCAGTTCCTCATCATGACTCTCCTTGGCAGAATTGAAGTTGTCATTCTCATTCATCAATGAAACCTTTTATCTAGCATTTTTCTTGTTCAATCAAGTTTTGGGTGAATTTTCTGTTTTTTAAATTAAAGCAGTATTAAGACATGCAATGGGTTAACACGCAATCTCGTTAGTGGACCGGATGATCTAATTAATTATTAATTTTGAAGACTGTGTCAATGAGCATTTTAAGCAATCTGGGTCGTAATAATGAATGGGAAATATTCTGTTGAGAGTTATTTTTTAAATAATATAACTGCAAAAGTCTTAATTGTATAATAGAATTTAAATGTCCTCGATGTTACTCAATGAGAGAGTTTACAGTACTTCCTACAGATAACTACTAAGACAACTCTTAGAGGCTTATTTTTTAATTTCATCAAACGTCTGAATTGGATTGTTCAGAGGGATTCAATAATTATAAACCAAAAAAAAAATCATGGAAATCAGGAGTAAAGAAACTTTACTATTAGAGCAAAATGATTCAAGTACATTATTTTTAAATTATTCGTACTGCTACATAAGACAGTGAAAAGAATTCCTGAGACGAACCAGTGGGAAGTCAGCTGCCAATTTTTCAATCTCCTTCGTACATAATTTATTCTCTTGGGTGACGTGCGTTTACAATATCAAGGGAATTTATTGTATTGTCGAAATTGTATATTATACGAAAGATATAAATTTCTAAGGCAATTATTCGTTGACTCTGCCGCAGGTACAATAATTCGTTAAATTTTTCTCATTAGAAATCTATTATTTTTGAATTTAAGGCACTCCAGTGCATTAAAATAAAATCCTCAATAGTTCAATTTAATAATCTAAATACACTGGATTCAAGATATTAATTTTCAGCTGCTAACGTTGAAAAAATCAAAACTAATTGAGATCTGACAATTTTTCTAAACTTACCATTCTCGCTAAGTTCAATACAATTCTTTGAATTTTTACAAATCATTACATAGATACTGATTCGTCTGTTATTTCGTCTCTAATAATTTTATCCTACATCATAAATTTTGGGCGGCACGTGTGTATATATAAATACTATTCATTAAAAAATGAGTAAACATAATTGCACGATTCTTCCATTATTCCTCCATTATTACTTTATCCCGAGCAAAAGGCCCCGATTAATTTCGGCCAATCCTTTGCCAGGTTATTAAATTTATGAGATCTAAGGGGATTTTTTTAATAATTTATGTACACTCTGGTCGTCGCAACAAAACAAACTATTTATAATTTCTTTTTCTCTTGTTTTGTACAAAAAAAATTTATGAGCAAACACTCGAAAAAAATTGAGTCAACATAATCTGATCTCTCTCACAGTCATGCATTCTTTACGAAAGAAAAACAAATAAAAAGACATTCAATAGTCATTCACACGTAATTGTACTTATTCATATCAGAGACATTTAGCACGAGAAATGATAAACAACCTCTCGATCTGAATTTCAATACTTTCAATTAAGATTTATAATCTCAAAGGATCGTTTATACTCCTCCGTGCCAATGAAAAACCATCTCCCGTCTATCACCGAGCTACACCTGAACCTCAATACAAACCTACACTTGTACCAAAGAACAATATTATGTACAAAATGGAAATTAACCCAATACCTATATACAACTTAATACTTTCATTTTTAAGTGCATAAAGACCTTGTTTCTTATAATCTCATAACACCTAGCCTCGCTTGGAATTGGTAAACTAAGATAAGTGCATTTCACCTAAACTCAGCTAGAGCTCAATATTTCGTGAATGAAAAGAAATAGAGAAATGCACTCATCCAAGTTTGTCAAATACGGAATTCCTTCGTAAAAGTGATATTAATAGCGTACTAACTGGTGTTTAAGGGCTTACAGCTATTTCTCGATCACCTGATCGTTTAACGTACATGTAGGGAGCTTCTGACGTTTTATTGACATTCCGAGTGGCTCTGCGATAAGCCCGCTGGACGTCTGGATTACTCTCAAGGGTCGACGAATGACTGGAGGGCGGGTGAGAATATTCCGATGTATTTTCCTCATCTGATACTAGACCACGATCGATATTGTTCAGAGGATTTTGCTTTATTCTTCTCAATCTACAGCCTGGGCCAATGGGTCTTCTTGTGGCACTAGAATGGTTACATAAAATTATTCCAGCAACAACTAAAAATTGAAGAAAATCTATTTCGAAGAGCTCTGCTCATTATTGTTTTCTTCATATCACGTCAAGACTAAAATAGAAAAATCCGAAAAATTGGGCAGCTTGAATTTTCGAATCTGCAAATGAAAATTGTGCACGTGTGTTCTTACCTTCGTCTTCTAAGTGAATAATTGAACCCATATCTGACAGGCATCTCTCCATCTACATCAGACCAGCCCTCCTCTCCCCCATCATCCTCAGAATCAATATCAAACTCGTCATTATCATTCTCCCCAATCCTATCGATTCTCCCATTATCATTTTTGTCCTCGGCGTCCCCACAAGCTGCCTCCTGTTCGGCCTCATCACTCGTCTCTCCGGCGGCCCCATTTATACCCATACCACCATAATGTAAGCTACGATAGAACCAAAAAGAAATACCAAAATAAATAAAAACAAAGCCAAAACGCGAATGATGAATGTGAGGTGTGTGCATGTGTTTATAACGAATAAAGACATCGGAAAATACACGAAAGATAAACATTTACCCATGCATGGTGACATCATCGCAGTTCCCGTTGTCCACAGGCGACAGGAGTCTATTAGCATTGATAATTTCCGAGACTTTTCTCTCCAGCGTTTCCAAATGCTCATCATCACTGTCCTTGATCCTCTCATTGCCATTCGATCTGTTCTCAATACCCTCGAATATTCCTTTATCAACGACATCCATACAATTCCCATTGACAGATCTCGGATGAGATCTAGGAGGTGAGTACTGGACTCCCTTGGAATGACAGTAGATACCTAGATTCTCGATGGATTCACTGATACTTGTGATATCAGTTTGAGTCTGATGATCGACATACCTAAGACTTAATTCTCCACTTTTTCTTTCTCGGTGTGGACTCGACCTTGGACTGGCAGATACTAGTCCCCCCGAGCCCACCCTTCTGTGCCTATACTTCTTCTGTTTAAAGCTAGAATTTGAATTGGCACTGGGAAAGAGAACAGTCTCAGGTTGATTTGAATTATTTAACTGAGTGCAGAGGGTAGCCTTGAGGGGACTGGTGGGTGGGTCTTGGGGAGATGGAGGTGTCGTTGGTGTCGTGGAGCTCGATTGAGCTCGATTATTCCTCCTATTAGGTAATCTCTCCTTGATCTGCTTGAGAGGATGAACAAGACGTTTTCTGTACTGCTTGCCCCCAGACAGCTGTTCTATTTTCCTTATATCACGTTCTCGCTGTTCCATCTGGAGCCAGACTGCGGAGAGATCGAGATAGAGACTATTAGCAAGCTCGAGTTTGCGCTCGTAGTGCTCTCTGATGTCCTGAGCGTGTCTCAGTTCACTCTCCCTTTGTCTGATCAAGTTAGCCTCGTATCTGGAGCCGTTTGAGCTGTTCGTTTGCATCTGCTTCATGTGCACTCGAATCTCCTCCTTCCATGTCTGCTGGGTTTTGAAATATTCCTCTGACTTGGTGGAGAGTACTTCAATAGCTGCTATCTGGAGGTGGACTTCGATGTGCTTGAAGGAGGGTCGATTCCTGGGCTTGGCGGCCCAGCATTGTTGCACCAAGAGTTTGTAGCCCTCAGGGCAGCTTGCTGGAATTGGCAGATGAAGGGAGTTGTTACCAACACCCCAGATTATGGCTGAAGAGTCGACGTCTTTGTAAGGTACTTCACCACTCAAGAGCTCCCACAGAACCACTCCGTACGACCAAATATCCACCTTCTCTGAGCACGGTTCATTTCGAATAATCTCTGGGGCCATCCAGGCCACAGTTCCAGCGAAACTCATCCTTGTGCTCTTCTCGATTAATTCTCGACTCGTACCGAAATCTGAAATCTTGACGACTTCACCCTGACCGATCAGGACGTTCGGGCTCTTTAAATCTCGGTGAACTATCTTGTGAGCGTGCAGGTAGGCCATACCCGCTGCTATTTGTTTAGACCAAGAGACGAGACGTGGTGGGGGAACTTTTTCTCCACCTCGCAGGAGGTCGTACAGGGGCCCGTAGGGACAGTACTCCATTACTATGCAATAGCAGGGGGCCTGGGTGCAAACACCACGGAATTTAACAACATTTGGGTGATTCAGTTTACGCAGGTGGCGAATGTCCGTCTCACGGGGCTCTCGCACTTTTTTTACAGCTACTATTTCTTTGTTCAGAAGACCCCGGAACACTGCACCCTGCGCCCCAGAGCCCAACCACTCCAGGTCACTTATTGTCTCAAAGAGGATCTCCCAGTGGTCATCTGGAGAGAAAAAATATTGGGTTTTATGACGGAGATGAGATAAGAAGTTGGGACATAATTCTTGGAAAGCACAATTTGTGAATAGAGGTAATATGGGATTGTAGGAACTTCATGAATAGAGGAGGAATTTCAGAGATGTTGTTTTGTTGGAAATGGTGGAACGCAAAATCAGAGAATTTTTTGTGCATTTCAAAGAAGACAAAAAAAATCTATTGTTGTCACGACAATTCTCTGTAAAAAATGTCTCGTGATGTTCCTCTCATGACGTCATCCATTACCGAGGGAAATCAACCGTTAATTATTTGAATTTGCATTCGATCAATTCGGATCAATCAGGTGATTCGTTAATTGCGTAATTAATGCAGGAATAAGTTATTCTAGAGGAAAAATATCAAGAAATCGGTTTGTCATAACGATACATCTGCAAAAAATATATGACAATTTTGCAGTGCAGCTAGTGAAGAGAAAACGTGAAAAAAACTCAGAAAATTAATTAATGCAAGAGAATACATCACCAGACCATTTTTGCACACCAGTCACCGCAAAAAGAGTCTTCATGTTTTCCCTTAACTTCGAAGTATATCACTAATCAACAATTGAAATGTGAATTCAATCGGTTCGGGTGATGCAGGTGATTTGTTAATTAGGTGATTATCTAGGAAATGACTCTAGGAGAAAATGTCTAGCGACGGTTTTGGCACTCGAAAATTTTCAACCAAATTTTTTTTTTACTTCATGTAATTTGCTATGAAATTTAATCACCTGACGGTCCTTTTATTTTTTCACTGACGACTGGCTTCGAGATGAAGGTCCACACAGGTTTCATGCACCCAAAGATGCCCTCTACCCAGCTGGACTTCTGCGGTTCCATGGACACTGAAGTCTGTCCATGCTGACTTGTATCCTCTGAGCTCTCACTCTTGGAGTCTCCAGGAAGATCATATCCAGCCTCATTCTCAATCGTCTGGGGGTCCTTGACTCCATCAATAGAGAGATTCGAGCCAACGTCAATGTTACTCAGCTGACCCAGTTCATCTTGGATGCACAGCATACTATAATGACCAAAAAAATGATAATGAGTATTTCCCTTGAATACGAGAAGAAACGAAAATTGTCAAGGCTCAACAGAAAAAAATCTCAGGGACGTGCTCCAAATATTTAGCAGCAGCATATCAGAGTTATTTCTCACCTGGGTGTAATTTTTTCAATCCCCAATTGTAAGCCAGCCGAATCATCTCGCTCTTTTTTCGTGAAAAATCGAGCAAGCACCATTGTTTATCATTTGTCGCGCACATACGATTATTTTTAATATCTCTCTCATAGGAGAAAATGAATATGAGTGAGCGGTGGTCCCTCTTCAGAGGCACCGGAAGATAATTAGTTTTTTGTGTTTGTTTTTCCTACTTTCAAGGGAATAATAACGAGAACTTGTGTGGGTAAAATCCCCCCAAACAGCTTCTTATCTCGTTGATTGACCCCGCAAATCTGGTAATCCAGGGTGACTATTTCGACTCCTCGAAAATGCAATTGCAATTTAAAACTTAATTTACTATCGTACTTGCTCCGATTGAATTTTTTCACGACGACCTTCCCAGACATTCATTCCACGAGCTACGCACACCCGTTGTTTTCAACTACTGTCGTTACGTAGTTTATCTACACACGAGGGAATTTACACATCATTACAGTCGTGTTCATATACATGAGATCAGGCCACGCACAATTACAAATGTTAAGGTTGACTGAAGCGCCGAGTGGTACGAGATATCGTTTTAGGAATGCAAAAAAACCAAATTGTTTTCCTATAAAAAAAAAGAGAGCGCTATCATGCTCGATGCGCATGCGCTATGAAGTGCCAAGTTGGTTCTACCTATATTGGATGGCGGGAATTTTTAAATTAAGTAACCGAACAAGAACACCATTTTTAGGGGAGTAATCCAATTAAAGTGTTTACATTCACTTTTTATAATTTAGAAAGGACTTTACAACAACTTTAACTTTAAAATGTTAGAAGTAATCCGAATTTTGTCCCGAATTTTGCAATGTTCGATTTCCACTTTATTCCGTTTTATGTGACAATTGAGCTCTTGTGGAAAATTCACACATATGCTATGAAGTACACACACATATTCTAGCAAAATATGGGGCACATTGTTATGTTTTAAGCCATTCTCTATTATTTACGGGTAAAATTAGATTTAGAATTGAAAGCAAAAAAGAACAGACGGTAATATGATCGAGACATCGATGATATGTACGAGTAAAGAATGAGCTGGTAATTCTTAAATTCCATGAGATTGCCCCGAGAGATCGTTAAGTATTAATAATCAGTATTCAATATTTTGTGCTACGGGAACAAGTATTTTAATTGAATTCCTCAAGAATCAAAAATTGACAGGAGAAGGACTAGAACAAGTATTCATCTCCTCAAGTCAAGTAAACATTGTTTTTTATAATTTTATATTTTCTCACGTCATCGCGATCGTTCATAGTTCCACAAAAATGAATTGAAAAATGAGAAAAACTGGACGATTTATAACTAGTGAATACTGAAAAGTTAAGGAAAAAGCAAAAATTTGAAACTCATCTATAAATAATTCATCCTCCATTAAAAAAAATGCTTCTTTCACTTTAAACGAATAAGTATCATGAAATATGAAAGAATGCATTATGGAATGATAAGAATGAGAAATAAAAGAATAATTCACCTATTGGAGAATTCTTCAGCCTCAGCCGGCGAAGTTGATAAAACCAGTGGATTAACAATAATCCCAGAGGACGATGCCATCGGCGATGACGATGTCGACGTACTTTTAATTTTGGTTTGAAAATCAAAGCCATAACTCTCATGGGAGCGATTCACCTCCGCTTCCGCTCCGGGTGTTCTCATCTCTATTTGTTCTTCTATGTTCCTTATTTGATGAGGATGGCGACCGCTTCACCCGATAATTCTAAAACCTTAGTAACAGAATACATTATCATCGGAATGATAGGAATTTTTGGTACAGGTGAATGGTTTAGGTATAGAACGGAGGAAGGGAGTGGAACGCGATCGCGGGCTTCTGAGGGCGATGAGTCACTCTCAGAGTAGATGTTAATAACCTGTTTTATGAGTATAAATTCCCGATAAACGTTATCTCACCTCTTACCAAATAATCAAAGTAATAATTAACAGCCCAATTTCAATGGTTTTCACCCGAACGTTACTAATGACAACGAACTGACCAATTGATTTTCAGTGAAAATATTAATACGAGACCGTTACAAACGATTCGTCAACCCGAAGGCATTGAAATCTCCAAAATTTTCCAACTTTTTTTCGTAAATAATCCGACGGCGATCGATTGAACGAGTTCACCCCTGGAAGATAGCTTTACGACTGCAAAGGGAATCAGTGCCCACACCGGTGATTACTCTATCTGCTGAGGGTGGAATTCCAAGAAGATGGCTATTCTCCTGCTAACAATAAAAATAGCGGCGCACTGGACGAGGCGCCACGCTGCCCCTCATGGTCATTTTGACCATGAAGATGAGGAAAAGAGAAAACCGAAAACAAGTGGCGGTGGGTGAAAGGGGGAGAGGAACATTTTCAGCATGGTGGACAGTGCCGTACCTACACTTGCACACCTGCTAAAAATTGTGAACATAAATACAATTCATTAATGAATTGGCCTCATAATAAATCGTCTCGACACGATCGAGACTTAAAATCGAGACCGATAACGAAATAGCAAGAATGAATCCATACACAGAATAATAAAAATACAGAACAATAAATTGTTATGGGATTAATAATTACCTTGAAGAAATATGAGAAGTCGTTGCTCCTTCTACGGTCGTCTTCATATCTCCCAAAAAACACGTGCTACAGCATTCCGATCAATTAAAATCACTAGTCCCTTAGAACACTTTTAAAAAAACTAAAAAGCCTGGCTGCATGGGAGAATAACTGAGCGGAAATATTGAAAAATTCTTAGTTTGACGTTTTGACACTTGAGACTGGTCTCTGTCACAACAAACAGGTCCTGACGCTTGGCACTGATAATCACCACGGGAAACTCCCCGTACCTCGATTAAATCACAAAAATAACCGGCAAACACTTGAATGGGGTTGAAAAAAAAAATCGTTCAACCCTGTTGTAAACTGACAGGCTGTAGACGCGCGTCGGTGTATATTCTACAAAATGGCGTAAGACGTATTAAATATAAAGGCAATGTTCCACACTGGGAGTAACGCACTTGCACTGGTTATTCTGTAACGGAGATTGATTATGCGGGGACAGTCCTTGGATGTCCTTTTTCAGATGGTTATTACTGGTATTGGTATGAAATTGACAAGAATGCACTGGGACCCGATGTGAATCGCGTCTAGCGTCCTGTGGTCAGAGTATTCCCACCCCTCGAATTCGTCGAGTCTAACGTTTTGGTTGTGTTGGTGGGGCCGTACAGTCTGGCGCTGGGAGAGAGAAAAGAGAGTGGAAAAATAAGGGTGGCGATTGCTATAGGTGGAGGGTATCGACGTCGTCGAGGACGCCGTGTGCGGAGTGGGAGAGAACAAGGTGTAGGATCGAAAACCAGGGACGAAGCTAGACCGAACAACACCAACTCGAATATTTTTTAATTGACACCCTCGAAAAAAAACTGTAGCTGTATTTTATCTTTCAGCGAATATTTAGAGTAAGATTACAGAACGCCCTGGAATACTGGGGGAGTCTGGGCTAATATGGACATCTTTTATTTTAATTGGATTTGCAACAATTGAGACTGTCGAATGACTTTCTCAGATCACATAATATGACCGTCTAAAATGTTACAGAATAAGCGCCTTCTTGAAAATTATGTATTTGTTATAATATTGAATGTTAAATTGATGGTTTCGAAAAAATCTCCTTTTTTTCTTTCAACGATGTTCCACACTTAGTATAAAAACATTGTTTGTTTAAACATGGAGAAATATTAGAAATTCATAACGGAACAATTCTTAATGGTGTCCGTTTTACCCCAGGTGTCAATATTGCCCCAGTTTTGTTTATATTACGATACAAGTGTGAAAAAAAATGTAATTTTTGACGAGTGAACTTTATTTAACGCTCATCTAGAATTTCATGTCTATTTTATACATAAATTTTATATACAAAGAAACAATTTCTTTATTAACGAGGAAAATGTAATAATTAAAAAAATAAAAAATCTCTTTCTCCCTAAAAAATGTATTTCCACCAGAAGAAAATGGTTTTATACCTATTTAACTCCATTAAAAGGATTTCAATAATCTGCATCAGTTCTGTCAAGGTCAACTCGACAAATTGACTAAAGGGGAAGTCTTGTAGTTTCTAGGAACTCGTTAATTCCATCTTCTTCGTCATCGCTGGTGGGGTTGGCACGTGGGTCGATGTTGTGACGTAACAGGAAGACATCCTTCAATTGGGTTGGTGGGGTGATCGGGTAGTGAAGCTAGAGAAAGAAAAAGCTTGCCTGGATCGATAGCGCTACTTTGACGTTGTTATAACGGGAGGGAGGTGGCGTAACTTTGTGACGACAATGCAGAAGTTGCACGGATGGTATACGTTGTCGAGTCACCTCAATCGACCTCAAGTGATTTGTAGGACTTGACTACGCTTTCGATTTTGGCAAATGCCCGGAGAAAATCGTCGTCCTCGAGACCGTACTGTTTATATTGATGAAGAAACGCCCCGTGGGTGTATATCCTCCATGCACTAGACACAATGTCATCCAAGGGCTCAGCTATTCTCGAATTATTCGAAATAACTGAACTGAATCTCTCGTTTCCCAAGAAATTCCTCTTTTGACGAAAATGAGTCATTCTTTCCCTGAACTGCAGCCACTTTATTTCAGAGTAGATGTCCCGATCGATCAATTGATCAATTACCCCAGGATCGTCATTATCGGGAGAGAACATTTTCTTCCCTCTTTGTTTGACTGTTCCTCTTGTAATCAGGATGTTGGAGAGGCTTTTTACCCCTCGAGGGGTGTAAATCTCCTTCCTGAGGGTTTTAAAGTGCGTCGGATAGTTCTGGAAAGTTCTGTGAGACATTGAGACGATCTGAGTGTCTGGAATGAGGGGAACAGCTTCGATACTCGCTAGTTTATATCCTGGATGAGGGGACACCTTGGAGATGATGTGGTTGACGTCGTTGAGTCGATCTGAGGATAAGTCCCGAGCTGGTTGGAAGACAGACAGGATTTTCTGAGCTGCGATGTCGTTGAGATCTCTTGGGAAGTCAATCTTCATCTTGCAGTTTTGAGTTATTTCGTGATTGAGTTTTTGGTTCTCCAGCATGAGGATGAGATCGGAGTCCTCGAGGACTTTTGCAAGGCTAAGGACTGTGTTGTAGCTCTGGGTGGCAATCTCCCCAGAGGGAAACGGGAGGATTGCAGCTGTGATGATGTTTTTTAAAGGGAATTCGTCTCGAAGAGAGGATGTTATGAAGCTTCCAAGACCGGATCCAGTGCCTCCAGCACAACTGAGGAGACAAAGAAAGCTGTCGAGACGATCTGCTTTTTCCACTTCCTTCCGAACTGCCTCCATCACCAGGGCTTCGAACTCTGGACCCTTCCTGGTGTACCCGAAGGCCCAGTTGTTGGCTGATCCTCCGGCATTTCCTGGCGTAATGACGTTCCTGGATCGGTAGCAGAAATTTTCATCATTCTTCGTGATTATTTTGTTTATGACTTTTGTCTCGGTGTCAATTAGAAGGACTCGTGCTATAATCCGTCCGTCCTGGGCAGCACCCTCGAACCATTTCGATGTGACAGCTTCACTGTACTCATAACAATCAGAAAAGGACGTGCCTGGACTTGTTGAGCTCAGGTCTTTGGTTATTTTCTTGAATAAAATGTCCCCTAGTTGATTTCCGCACTGACCGAATTGCAGAGTTAACATTATGAGTGAACCAGGGGATTTAACCTGGTATGGACTTTTTTGGACCAGAGATACGGTAATTGGTAATTGAGGTATGATGATTAATTATTGTTTAGGTTTCAAAAAATCTTGAAATCTTCATTTTAATACCACTGAATTTCAGAGGAATTCTGGTAGATGGTGCTATTAGGATCTTAGGAAAAATGTGTGGAGGTACAGTATCGATTGAAGATACTGAACTGAGATGTGTATTTTAGGATTGACCTATATTTACAATATGTTTTCCACCTCTCATATGTCTACACACCTGCATGTTCATTAGGGTTCTTTTTTAAAAACTTCGCCGTCATGCCGACATAGCTGTGGAGAATTCCAAAATCTCTTCTTTACCGATTCAGAATGGCGATTTCATCGAACATATATGTCCAGTGGTTCCAGTTTAATCTGAAATTTTTCATTCAAATATCTTTTTTCAACAGAACAAACCGTAGTCTCCATCAATTCAAATGAGCTACCCTCGAGAGCACGCGGATTTCTTGAAGTGAGCGGTTAGAGGATGAAAGTCATTTCCTAGAAAGTAAATTGCACTGGTGATGACATCGTTGCCCTGACTACGAAATCGGTGTGATCCCCCGAAAGTTGTAATTCCCTCGTCCTTAAAATTGAGGTGTTGGGTTGGATCATTTGGATTATTTATTGGTTCTGATTTTTAGTTGAGGATAAGTGAACTCTTTTGAGAAATTAACTCGTGGAAGATGAGTGTCGCAGACGGAGCTAATCTGACTCGTGGGGAGATGATGTCCTTGATTGTCCGGCTAACAATTGTTACAGCCGTTGGATTTTTCAGTATGAAATGGATTATGAGCCAGATGGACCCCATGTCAAAAGCGAAAAAAAAGGCTAAGGAGAGGGTGAGTCAAAGAATTCAAGAGGAGATAATGTCATTGGGTAATTTGGGGGTTTTCCCTTTCTTTTTGCTTAAGATCCTAACCTCCAAGGAGTATTTGAGGAGAGCACATGCTTTGAGATTTCTATTAAATTTTATATTAACTTTTAGACTATTCTGCGGTTAAATTTTCAATTGAAGATATTTCACAAATAGTCAACAGAAATCCTATTTTTCAACTCATTCTAGCGGTCTATTTTCTCCTGAACTTTTTAATAAAAATCGACAAAAAAATAATAAAGTTTAATGAAAATTTAAGAGAATAGCCTAACAAACATTATTGTCGAATGAGGAATAAATTTTCTGTAATTGAGAAACCAGTTGCCTTCATTCCAAAAAGTTGTTTCCTTTGTAGACGTCATTTGTTGGTTTGTGATTTTTAGGCGGAGAGTCAGCTGAGAAAACTGGGGAAAGCGAATAGTATCAGTCTGAGTGTTGATACTAAGCAGCTAACGGATTACGAAATGATGATCGCCAGTCATTTAATTGATCCGCAAGATATTCCTGTATCTTGGGAACATATTGCTGGGCTTGACTCGGTTATTCAGGAGCTCAAGGAGACTGTTATCTTACCGATTCGGAGGAAGGAGCTGTTTGAGGATTCTAGGTTGACTCAAGCCCCAAAGGTTTGTCTTTTGGGCAAAACTTTAAATCGAATGCACTTCAATTAAGCATTTCCATTTGACGATGTGGGATTACATTAATTTTTTTTATTCAGGGAGTACTCCTTCATGGGCCACCAGGCTGTGGAAAAACCATGATTGCCAAAGCTACAGCCAGGGAAAGTGGCACTTGCTTCATAAATCTTGATGTGAGTCTTCTAACAGACAAGTGGTACGGCGAGAGCCAGAAACTTACAGCTGCTGTTTTCTCACTGGCTGTTAAGATTCAACCCTGTATAATTTTCATCGATGAAATAGGTGAACTGTTGCGACCCATTAAAAAAAATATATCAAAAATTTTATTACAAAATAAGACTTTCAATCCATATTTCATCGTTAGATTCGTTCTTGCGAGCAAGAACTTCACAGGACCACGAGGCGACGGCCATGATGAAGGCCCAGTTTATGTCCCTGTGGGATGGACTTATCACAGACCCATCCTGCACTGTTATTGTCATGGGTGCAACTAATCGTCCGCAAGATCTGGACCGTGCGATACTACGGCGAATGCCAGCTACGTTCCATATAGGTTTACCGGTGAGAATTTAGGATTCTCCACTTAATCTGCCTGATTTTTTCATTATTTCACAGTAGTTTATACCATTAAAATCTTTTTTTTTGGCAATAATTGATTTGAAATAATTCAGAGATTCAGAAAAAATAATTAGTTTTATACCAATTTTAATTGCATTTTCAAACGTTTTAAATAATTCGTGCATTTTATTTTTTCAGAATGAGCAGCAACGTACGCAAGTACTAAAGTTAATCCTAGACAAAGAGCCTACTGCTGAAGATGTAGATGCTGTGAAGCTATCCAAATTGACCGAGGGATTTTCAGGCTCTGACCTCCACGAGCTATGTCGAACAGCGTCATTATATAGAGTGAGAGATTACTCTCGAGAACATCCCAAGTTAGTTGAATCGATTCTCAAAATAATAATCCTCTGAAAATTATAACAAGTTAATAAATTGAAGTCTACAGTTTCGTTTGAGACGCCAATTAATGAAAAAAAATCGACTGATTTTAGGTGAAACTTCGTCTTTCAATTAATCATAAATTTTTTTTGCATTCCAGTGCATCACATCAAAGTGTTCCCGAGGAAGACGAGTTTCACGACGCATTGCGTCCAATCACCCATGACGACCTTATAACAGCCTTCAAACGAATGCGAATGTCGAAAGTTCAAACCGGTGGATTGTCCAACCTTTCAAAACTTGAACTAGATTAGGAAAAAATTAATTATGATCTCCCGAGTTTATGAATAAACAAATTATTAAGATAATTTTCATTTGGCCATCAATCATGTCACAAACAGATGTAGTTCGACTATGAAGAGAAAAATTCTCGATGAATTTTGAAGAACAAGTACATAAGGCGATGGAGCAACCAATGCAGTCCTCATTTCCTATTAACCAATCATCATTTTCGTTCAATGTTTGTAAATATTGAATATATGTCTCTAACATTTGGAGTTATCAAATATATAATTGTTAGTTGAGAGGAATCATTAAAGAATACCTGAAAATGACTATTCTCAATTTATTACTACCCCAATCCTTTGTTCTTTCATTTCTTCCCCAGGTCATCTGTCGTATTTCAATAGATTATCAATCAATGTCACATGGCTTTTACTTTTGGCAATTTAAAATTCTCTTGAATTCTTATGGAAATGCTAATGAGTGCGAACGGAAAATCCTTAGAATTTTCAATCATAATTTTTCTATTCAATTTTTTCATACATGCCCTCATCTCTTGACCTGCATTGTTTCATATTCTATATTTATCATACTACAATTTTGATTAATTCTATGTGCCGGCCAGAGTGTCTCCCAGATAATATCGTGACAAATCCGTGCATTATTCATTAAACAATAGTTATTATTACTGTCTCATCCCCTCTCTCTTTTCCATTTTGCTGTTACTGCTCGAGTGTAAAGTCTCTCATATAAACTCCACACACGAATACAAGGAATCCGATACAATATAACATCAATTATTTGAATAACATAACCTCATCCCACTATCCACAAACGTCAGATTGGCAATAACAAAGAAAAAGTATTGCTGGATCAGGAAGACCTTCACAATGAGTCACTCAATTCTAATGAATAAATTATAGCAAAGTCGATTGAAGAACGAATGAGATTCAAGTTCAGTTTGATAAAATGGAAAAAGAAAGGTAATTTCAATAATTAATTTATGAAGTATAATTGGATGATATGGGGGAAAGGCAGAGAAGAAAAGTTCCACCGATTTTTGGAATTTGGCATTCTTTTTAACAAGCGACTCTATTTCTACGTTAATAAGAATAGTTTGCGGAGCAGAACATGCTACAAGGCATTTAAAATTCGGAGAATGTTTTTCCAACTTTGAAAATTACTTGGATGGTATGTTCAGGTTTACAATGCTTCTCTTGGAGCCTGGAGAAATATTTTTCGAGGACTACAGTGTCCGGATGAAGCTGCAAGGGGATTCAGACAGCGAAAGGAACCAGTGGATGGACGGTAGGTTGAAATTGTGCTCCAAATCCTTGGTGTTCGTCAACAAAGATATCAACTGGCCGCTCCTGAAGCTCCAGTTCAAGGAGGTCATGTCAATGGAAACTGCATCTGTCAGAGAGAATGGAATAGGGGACGTATTATCAGCTGTTTGCAAACAATACACGGAGATGTTGAAGGGGAATATTTTAGAGCCTTACAAATTTGTGCATCAAAGTGCACGTTTCTACATATCATTTAATTACGCTAATCTTGAAGACTGTCTCCCCCAGATCATGCAGCTATTGAGAGCTGCAACATTGCCTACTGCAGAACATAATGCGATGGTATTTAATAGTCAAGTGGTGAAGTACGACAAGTCGAGTTTGATATCCTCATTAGTTAGTTACCTATCAAAATAACGAATTCCTGAAGAAATCGACCGCACAAAAAATAGAACCATGCTAATTTTCTTATGGCCTATTATTTTCGGTGGGACTTAACACGTTTTGGATATGTGACCTATTTTTTTCTGGTCTATTTCTTCTACCTACCCAAAATAACACAACTCAAAATATTACAACAGTAAAATATCCCAACAAAACACCCATTATTTCAAAACATTAGAACAATAAAGAAAAAACCATAATAAATTCGCATATTTGGTATATAATTGTCAATTACCCCCGAACTTTTACTATCTACTCAAATCACTAAATAACGTTATGACCAACGACTCGAAAATACTCTACAACATCACACATTGAATGACCAATTCAATTCATAGAAATCGTCAGACAGTACTTAGTATGGTACACAAAATATATCGATTTCTTAACGAACCAAAAGTAATCTCCAGCTCGCTCAAGCAAATCACAACAATCGACTACATATTACGACGGCATATTGCTTCAGAAATAATTGAGGGCAACAATATTTAGCCAGTATAATACTTCTGTCCAGTAGAGGATTTATATCATAATCCTTGCATTTGTAATATTTTTTAAAATAATATAATGATTTCGTAATATTTCGACTTGCAACATTTTTTACGGCTAATATTTTTGCGAAGTAATATATTCACATTATAATATTTTTACTCGTTATATTTTGAGAGGCAATATTACTATTGAATAAAATTTAGGGCGATCAACTCATGAGATATCGATGTATCTTGAAAACTGTTGACGTGGAAACATTGAAGGATGTTTTTGTAACTCATTAAATTTCGAAGAAAAATGGTTCTGTGATGTTTTTTCTGAAATCACTAGTTTTTTAGATCAATTGACTGAATAGTCAACTGAATAGTAAAATTCGACTTGTTTCCTTACCATCGATCAGATATTGACCAGTGATCCTAAATTCTACAAAATACTCAATAATAATATTTAATTTCTTTTATAGATATCGACGATAGTCCACTCGAGACAATCGAGATTTTCTTTTGACACCTCCTGGCTGGAGGATCTGTATGAAGAAATAATTTTGGAGGTTCAGGCGAATAAAATACAGCCACTAATAGTCAATCCTGGGAGAATACTCTTGACTAATTCAAGGATTTACTTTCAACCGTATAATAATCTCGAACAGCATCCTGTTCTAAAGATTAATTTAAAATCTGTCAAAAGTATACTGAAACGTCGGTTCCTTTTGCGCCAAGTGGGACTGGAGATAAAGTGGGTGAAATTACCAGAGAATAGAGTGGAATGTTTGTTTTTATCGGCAAAAAATCAGGATGATCGTGACAGATTGTACGACAGCTTGATGAGGCAATCGGTTTTACAATTGGAGACTGTACCACAGAATCAGATGACTATTCAGTGGCAGAATGGGGGACTTTCGAATTACGATTATCTTTTGTATGTAAATAGGTAAGTGAATCAATGAACGACTCATTGAAAAATTGTCGTTGATAATTTATTTTCAAAAGATCTATTATCTAGTTAACATACTATTGACTGTGCCAATCTCCTAGCCTGGCCGATCGAACTTTTCACGATTTAACGCAATATCCTGTGATGCCTTGGATTCTACAGGATTACACATCCTCAGATCTAGATCTGAATGATTCAAAAATTTACAGAGACCTCACGAAACCAATCGGGGCTTTAGAGCCCGACCGATTAGAGCGTTTAAAGGTGCATACGAATATTTATGCCGTTATTTACGTCTCACTGAATGCCAGAAATGATTCTATTCTCTTTGCAGGAAAGATATCAGGAAATGTCACACAACAAATTTTTATACGGCTCCCATTACAGTGCCCCTGGTTTTGTATTATTCTATTTAGTCCGGAAATATCCCCAGTATATGCTGTGCCTCCAAAACGGTAGATTCGATCATCCCGACCGTATGTTCAACAAGTAAGTGAAAATTAGTGCAAATAGTCACCATCTTTTTTTTATAGGGATTTCTCCCAGCCTGATGCATTAAGTTCAAAAAAAAAAGACGATGAATTTTGTAATTATGAAAATAAACAACAGTATTCGAGGGGAATTTTGTCCGTGTGTCGAGTGCTAGAATAATGTCGTAAAATTGGTGGTGGGAAAATATCCTGGGATGCTATTATTTTTTAAATAACTTTAGCATTAACAATCACTTGGCAAATGCGTAATTCTTTCCCGAAGAAATATCTCCATCGCTTTCATATGAAATCTGCAGAGTGCGATTTACTGTTAGACGAGTCGTTAACGAGATCTAAAAACCTGACAGTGTGGCTGACGTCTGGAAAAATGTATTGGCGAATATGTCTGACTTTAAGGAGCTCGTACCCGAGTTTTATGATACCTCCAATGGTGGGGACTTCCTGGTGAACAAGTATGGAATTGATTTCGGGTATCGATACAACGGGACCAAAGTTGCAGATGTGCAATTGCCACCGTGGGCCGAAGGTAATTTTTCTGAGAAACAGTGAAACGAGAAGTGGATTGAGTCTCTTTTGCGTATTCTAAATAGATCTGTTTTATTTTAAAAGATTAATCAATCAATTGGAAAGCTATTGGAGAGGGTTTAATTATTGAGTCCGTGGAAAATAAAATCATTTGACTGCGCTCTGACTGGAATAAATTAAATAGGATTTTATAAGATCATAATTTCACGGAATGATTTTGCGTTTTAAAGGGCCGGCTGACTTCGTCCAAAAATTGAGGAATGCTTTAGAGAGTGATTACGTATCACAGCATCTCCACCATTGGATAGACCTCATATTCGGATACAAACAGAGGGGAATCGAAGCGGAAAAATCTGATAATGGTAATAATAATTAAATACAGATGATTCGTAAAATATGAATTTAGTTAATTCTTAAATGTTGTTGATTGCCAGGTAAATTAAATGAAGATGATAATTATTGATTGTTGTTTTCAGTGTTTTTCCATCTATGTTACGAGGGAGCAGTGGATTTAGATACAATCCAAGATATAAACGATCGTCATGGTATGGAAGTGCAAATTATGGAATTCGGGCAAATTCCAAAACAAGTTTTTATTTTGCCACATCCGAGCCGATTAGCCTCCACCGGGAATTTATCCAGTGTCAGTCCGTTGAGCTGTCAGTTGACAATAATTTCATTTAGTTTATCAGTGTAAAAATGGCCCTGATTATAAAATTAATTGGTAAAAATTGATTCTTCAGTGGTGAATAAGGCGAGGACTGCGTTGAAATTGAAGCAGTCAATGGTTTTTCCTTTCCACAAAGAGACAATATCTGGAATAATCCAGATGAATGGCGATGGAAATAGTGTTGCTTCAGTCGGGCATGACGGGGTTCTGAAAATATATTCCTTGATGAATGAGAAATTGACCAGAAGCATTTCGCTTTCCAATTTGCCACTGTCCTCATGTATTTTCTATCAGACAAACAGTGGACAGAATATATTGGTCGTTGGCTCTTGGGATAACACTTTGTAAGTATTCATAAATTCTAAAAATAAATGAGGGAAGGGTGGGGTAATAATCTAAAATTATAAACGTCTTGTTGTCATTTTTTTAATTGTCAAAAAAAATTAAGAATAGAACAATTTTCAATAGGTATCTGTATAATCCCATCCCCCTCTATAAATTCTTATATAAAATCTCCTTGGAAAATTTCATTGAAATTCTGTCGATCCTGCCGAATAGTTTTCCCTGTTCTAAACAAAAACGGGTTTGAAAAAAGATAAATAAAAAGTGAAATATAAATGATGGATTTCAGGATTTTTTACGATGTTGAGTTTGGGAGGATAATAGACGTCCTGCCAGGCCACGAGGATGCAGTTTCAAGTTTAGCGTGGAGTCCCTCCCGAAATATTATCGTATCAGGATCGTGGGATTGCACTATTAAAATTTGGCACAGTTACATTTCCGGATCGAAAATCAAGCTGCGGGATAGCTTCATGGCCCAATTAGATCACGAATCGAAGATCACGTGTTTAAGTATTTCCAGGTAACACATTAATACACTCATATATTAAATAATAATAAGTGAGAATACAGAAGAGCTTCAACCATCTCAAATAAAAATTGAATTTAAAAGAAAATAAATTTCAATGTTCAAACAGACATGAAAAATTGTTGGCATCTGGAACCGAAGATGGAGAGATCTGCGTCTGGAATATGGAGTCCTACGATTTGGAGTTTTCTGTCAAAGGTAAAAAATTAATAAATTATTCCAACATTTGAGATATTCATAATTAATTGCAAACAATTCGTAACGACTCGATTGTCTATTCTGTTGAGGTCATGGTGGAAAAGTAACTGCCACAACATTCGACTCAGAGTGTAAAAATATCATAGCCTGTACAAACGATAGAACAATCAATGTCTTTGATGCTAAGACGAGTACTCGGATATACAGTACGTTATTGGAAGATGAACCACTTGTTCTCAGTTGGTTGGGCTCAATTTTACTCATTGGTGATGCCAAAGGCAATATTAATCTGTGGGACTCTCAAGAAGCCACTTTCTTGTCGACGACACCCTGTCATAATGGTAAATATTCCTCGAAGACTTAAGTGGAAAATTATTGATTAATCATTAAATAAAACATTGAATTCAATGTTTAACATGAAGTTGAATGGTTAACTTTCCATTCAACTGACTCACAATTAACTAAATGGTTATTGATGAATTTCAGGACCATTGACTGCAATTACAACCACCACTGACAATAATAAAATAATAACCGGTGGTAACGATCGAAGAATAATAGTTTGGGACTGTGATTAGCATTGGTAATGGTTAATTTTCTATTTCATAATCTGCTTGTTGTTTAAAAAATCTGAAGAATCAATATGAAGTTACGAATCTTGAGGTGAAATTGGTTGAAAAAAATAAAACGTATTATTTTTTACAAAAGAGATGTCTATGATTACGCATTTTCTTTTATTAGTATTAAATAAAATTTTTGATAAGTTACTCTTGCAACAGGTACCCTCTCTCTCCTTCCATTCTCGCACAATAACATCTGTTCACTATATTGGTAATTTCTTTAATTGTTCATAAGTGATGAAGAATATGATGTTCCAAGGACCCATTCGTAGAAACGTGGGGACGAAGCCCTTGTACAGTGCGAAGAATCCTTCATTTGCACAGGTCTGTTATTGAAAAATTAATTTCAGTGTCAGTATGTCCTGAACATTAAAGTCGTTTGCCTTATATTTTGTATTTATCAAAAAGATGTATTATTTACCTTAATGAAACAGTCTATACTTCCTTTATAAATATGTGGACATAAAGCTCCATTCGAAGTACGTGTTCTCCTTTGGTTCATTAATCGTGTCTAGAGGAACAGAAAAATTGCGAATAATTTTCAATGGATTTGGATGGGCAGAGGAGTACAGCTAGTTTAATAATAATTAATCATTTTTATGTGCTACCACTCACTCGAATAACATCTATAGGTGTAGAAGCGATAGCACTCGCCATACTAGCTGTAGTGCTGGAACTGAATACGAGAAATTAATCTCGATGCTGATTTTTTTCTCATTAATTTACTCACATGAAATGGTTACCAACTCCATCACCGATTCGTGGGATTAGCTTCTGTTTCGTGAAATCGTAAATCGGTAGTTCCACCGCTGCTATAATCGCCGCCCTCTGGGCGGTGGGTCCCACCCCCTGATAAAAATTAATTAAAATTTCGGTAACACGTCATTATTCTACTACAACACGCATTTCGTTCTGCGATTTCTCGTGAATTTAATAACTTATCAAACAAGCATAACAAGAAACAATCTTCAGCGATAAATGGAAACCCTATTTTCGTCATTACAGAAGTTTTTCCATAGCCACAAGATTTTAATTCATATCGCAAATTATTAATTGACATCCGACTGAATAGTAAGGTTTTATGAAAAGTTGGAGAGAAATCGCAGTACAAGATAATGATTACTCATGCACACAGCCACCCACAGCCGGTGTGTTGTAAAATGAAGGGAAGCGAGTGAATACGCTCATTATTTTCTAACAATAAATGAATCCCATAAACGATCTGATTAAATGATTTTACCCGCCATAAACCGCGTACACCTTCATGTTGATAAACGTCGTGGAAGCAACCATATAATGAAAGATTAGTCTCATTACCACTGACTTGCATACGAACTTTCACCACATCAGTTGGATTAGCAATAGCGCTTGATATAGATCCAGCTATTGCAGCACATACAACATTTATAAGCACTAAATCATCGGTTCCCCATTTTTCAGTTGCCAGCTGTTTGATAGAGTAGTATGTGCCAAACTTTATTGTTCCGTACGTCGCCTGCCTCAGTATTGCTGAGCTGATCCTAGTGTGAAAAATAACGAGAAACAAAAAGGAGAAATTCTCAAAATTTCATTGCTGCGCGGGAAAGTCATTGTGCAGAAACTAAAATCTATTTCCATACGTAGGATCGCATGAGTTCAATTAAAAAGTGCAGAGTGGCAGTGCATTCACCGAGAGAAAAACCAACAGATTTTCAAATCGTTAGTCGTACACTCAATAGTAAAGAAGTGGGAAGAGACAACAGAATTTTTCATAAAATATTTTTCGTAGAAAGGAATTAAGCGGCATAGAAAGTACTTCTAACTTTGTTAATGATTATTTTCAATTTATAAATTATTTTATTAACTGATTCGAGCCAAATATTTGGTTGGTCTTGAAAGTTGAGTGATTATTCACATGTGAAACTCTCAAATTTGAATGATATGATAATTATGTAATAATTTTTTGTCACTCGGCCCGTGAGGCAACGCTTCACGACCGCTACGCAGTCCTAGACCCCTGCCTATGAATTCAATGACCAAAAATATTGTTCGTCATACACGGCCAAGAAAAATTTCTCTAACGATTGTATTCGAATTGCTGGTGATTGTGATTTCTCACAATCGCCAGAAAAGTTCCTAACAGAATCTGTTTGTTTTTCTCTGAGTGTACGGTGGTGACGTCCGGGAAATTTTAATCTGCAACTGAGGATAATGCATTGATAGAGTAACAGTTGAATGAATAAAATTGCTCATCCACAATGTGAGTGAAAAATCGATGAAAATCGATAATTACTTAGTTCCACATAATTGTTGGTACCCACAGCCTCAGAGAGGAAATCCGTATGATTCTCCACTACGAGATCAAGTTCAAGGGAAAGAATACCTGGATTTTTTCCATCGAAAGCGTGAGGAATCAAAATTTTGCAGAACTGTTCACGCCAACGATGAAACGAGTAGGCACGGGTAAAAGCTCGAATGCCCAGTCGCCTGAAACCCATCGACTGTTCATTGAGACCAACTCACGAAAATAAATAGCAGAGATCAAGCTGGGTGTAAAATCGATGGAAAAATTCAACAAATGCATCGCCTAATGGTTCCTTCAGAATTGTGCGAGTGTAACGTAAATAATTATGCACATTCCTAAATGAAAATAAATCGTGAAAACTCAATTTAGAAAACTCACCCACAGTACAACGATTTTATTCCCTCCTGCCTGGAAATTTGGACTAAGGCATCCGTCATGCCAGAGTACCTCAAGGTAGCATATTTTTTATCCAATTTCTGACCTTGAATTTGAAGTCTCGTTTTTGTAGTGTCCAGTGGAAAAGTACCTGGAGTATATTGAGAATTTACTCTAAATATGCTCGGGTTACATTTCCTTATCCTTAGCTTAATATGGCGATTAAAAATCTAATGAGTCAAGTCAAATCAAGACAACTGTGGATAGGGCATGTTAATTAATGACGTTTTAACAATTAATCAATGAAATGGATAATTCTTACCTAGTTCTGCAATTATCGAGGCTATACCCCCGTAAATAAATGGACTCCAACCCAGGGGTTTTCCTTCTCCCATTACAATTATTTCTTCTCGGATGATCCTGAAAAATGAAAATCGGATTAAATTAAATCAAGGAAGCCCAGCACCAACAGATAATTCCGGTGAGGATAATTTTAAAGAAATTTAAGGTTAATCTCCCGTCACGTTTTGATAATTATTACGTTACGACAAGCGAATTCTCTCGAATATCTCTTTTTCCCGTTCAAATGACGAGTAACATAACTTGAACTTACTTCCACTGCTGAGTGTCAAGATAAAACAGAATAACAATTGTTGTTTATTCGTGAACAGTCGTCAATCGAACGCGGTTTTTCCTTTTTGATTTCTCCCCCCAAACCCCCACCTGCCCAGGGCTTTGAAACGCAACGATGGAATAAAGCCTTTATTGACACATTAAATTTTAAAAAAGAAATGCGGTTTTTTGTTCCTCGGTTTATTGACTGAATTATTCATAAAGTAATATTTCGTATTTTCAGTTAATTGTTCAACAGGAGTTTTTTTTTTAGTGACAATGGCTTCAGAGAAGCATAAAATGAAGCTGTCAAAAAGCATTTTGGAAATGAAGGTAATTTTTTAGGTTATTTCGATCCAACGCTTCTTTCAATTTCATGATTTTTCCACCAATTTTCATACTTTTGATTACGGGATTTTAATAACAATAATCATATTACATTATAATTATTATAACTTAATTATTGGAGAAATTGACACTTTGAAGTTTCAATAAACATTATTGAGAAGAACCATTTGAGGGCTCACCAGTAACGTGCTTTATCGATTTTTATGAATATGGATTGATTTGAATTATTGTTCAATTATTAGTTCATGAAACGAACAAAGGAGAAGGTCGACCAACAGTTATTTCAAACTGAAGGGGAGGAGTATTTCGAGAACCAGTTGACGACGAGATTGAAGAAAGAATCGTAAGTTGATGAGTTTTCAAATTGTCAAGTCAATTGCACAGAATAAAATTGCCTCGTAGGGATAATTTATAGAGAAACTTCCTCCCTCGTAACTTCACGAGGAAATAGATTTATTTTTTCATCAAAAACTTTAATTTCTTTCCCTCTTTTCTTATATTATTACAGAGGACAATACCTAATCGAGCCGAGTTTCGTGGAATGCGAGAAACTGATAGAAGGACGCTTGAGTTTCCAAGGGATGAATCCGGAGGTTGAAAAACTCCTGGCAGCGGAGGACAACGAAAAACGTGCAAAACTGGAAAAGCTTAAAGAAGAAATATCCGAAAACCAAATGGTTAATCACTACAAAGCCTGTAATCCCACTATGAGGAACAGGAATAAAAAAAGAAGAACATGGGTGCACCCAAGTGAACGTAATGGAAAGCAGAATTCGAAAAAGACGAGATTTATGAAGCCTCCGGATGTTTGAATAAAGAGTGCAAATTAATTATTGTGGAATTTACTACTATTATTAATCATTATGGATATGCTCCCAATTCGTTTTGGCTGCCCAAAAATATGTTATACAACACAAATTAGAGTTTCATTACATGTGAATGAGTTGCGTATTGTCAGACCACTGAGTGGTATCCATAATATTGTTTAACGATAATTATATCATTACTCATTAGCAGTTCTATTATATCCGAGTACAAGAGAAATTTATTTTTTGGTTTTATTTTGCCCGGTATTCCATTCCTGTCCGAATGAAACAATGGACTGTTTACATCTTGGAGCCCGGAGTAGTAAATTGGGGAACCGAAAGATACGCCAAAACAGAAATTGAGGGGAGGTCTGACTATAACGAGTTTCTACTGTAATTGATAATTTTGTTTTAACCTGTTGATTTTTTTCTAATGTCAAACATGTCCTTTTGAGCTTCAAAGTCGATTTTCTCCATTTCAATACCCCTTTCCCTAAATTGTTTATTCATAATATTTAAACGTTATTCATATATTGATAATGCTTCAACAATGCAGAGGAAATTCTTAAAAAACCGAAATTTCAGGGAATTTTGAATGACCAGGAAATGCAAAATAACAACAAAAATCTGTCGAGCATAAATTGAAAATTTGAATTTGAACCGCCAATGATCTGCTTGAAGGAGAGTGGGGCAACACGTGCATGTGTGTTATGATAGATGATTTGTTCACATGGTTTGGTTATGGATGATTATGAGTCTCTGAACTGCTAGAATTCATTCATTTGTTTATCAAAAAAAGCACCAATGTTGACGGAAGAAATTATGACTCAAGAAATTGACAAGGGGGATGCGGAAAAGTGCCATGAGGATTGCAACGCGAAATTATTCTATTCGGATGCTGCTAAATATTGGGAAAACGTGCCAGCTACAGTGAATGGAATGCTTGGGGGTTTTGGATTCATCTCTCATATTGATATCGACGGTTCTGAAGCATTTCTGAAGACATTATTCACGGTAAAGTTGCGAAATAAAATCTGAAAAACCCATTCTATTTAAACATCAATTAATTGTTTAAAACCATTATGAGGTTATTGAAAGCTCAACTTGCCAATAATTAACGAATAAGTTAGAAGAATTAACGAATAAGTAACGAAGTGAATAATCAACGATTTTCTATCGTTTCTGTAGTTGGAAAATCCACCTGACAAAAATTATGCGGTGGATTGTGGCAGTGGCATTGGAAGGATAACGAAAAATTTATTGGTGAAACATTTTAAACATGTCGATCTTGTCGAACAGAATAGTAAATTTTTGAATACCGCCAAGAAGTCCTTGTCTAGCTGCTCGACGAGAATTGGGGAATATTATCCTCTAGGTAAATTTATTTTTTGAAATGCATTTGGATCATAAATTTTTTTCTCACGTCATTTAAGAAATGTTGCACAAATATTCATTACCTATAATAAAATCGACAATCGATCAATTTTTTAATTGAATATTTCCCATTTTTTCTTCAGGATTGCAAGATTTCTGTGCGGCGCCAAGAAAGTATGATGTTATCTGGTGTCAATGGGTGCTCGGACATCTTCGAGATGATGATTTAGTTGACTTTTTCACAAAATGCATGTGTGTATAAGTCATTTAGCATTCTAAATAACTCATCTAAACCGCAAGTGATGTTTTAGAAAAAATTATCCAGTCTTCTTTCACCTCAACATTTATACATGAAAAATGCATTCGTTTTTCTAGGAATGGCCTAAAGGAGAATGGAGTTCTAGTCGTAAAGGAGAACGTAACGAGGTCAGATTATGTGGAATTTGATACTGAGGATTCGTCGATAACAAGACCTTACGACAATTTCAAGTCGTTATTCAAGAAAGCTCATCTAGAGTGTATTAGGGAGCAGAAGCAGCTCCGCATGCCCGGAATATTGTACCCAGTATTCATGTTCGCCCTCAGGCCATCAAAAACACTATTGGCACACCTCGCACTTCAAACGACTGACACGTCTTCTATCTAATTGAAAAATCGTTCTTGGGATGTGCTAGGAGAACATTTACATATCAAAAAAGAATTATTTAATTTATTTTGGTCGTATCTTCTCGTACATAAAATGTTGGTTCAAGTCTTGTGAGGAAGCATTGATTAATCGCCTTTTAACACTATGGAAGTGAGAAAGGGCGAATTTGTAAAGTTCATTCTCCATTTTCCACACAGTTGAGTTTTTAATTTTTTCTATAGTTTCTGGAAGTGGATTCATCTTCTGAGTTGTTTGTCGCAAGTGTGACTTATTGCCTACAATAAAAAACATCATTATCTCTAATTTAATTAACATCATATGTAGAAAATCCTGGTCTTCATCAAGTTATTTGAATAAATTGAAAAAATTTCTGTGAGTTTTGTGTGAATTATAACGAAATATCGACATTTTTCCACTTACTATGTAGGAAATAGTCATAAGCCCCTTTGAAGAATCGTGGAAGTACAAACTGAAGAGTCTGAATAAATTCATCGAGTTCCTCCGTAACTCCAACCAATAAATAATGTTTTTCTAAATTCCTCTTGGCTTCTTCTAGAGCCCACTTGTTACCAACTTCCCTGAAACACATTATTTATCACATAAACCTGATTGAAATTGAAGAAAATTGTCTTTCATTTAGGGGGAAACTCTGTTCAATGAATTTCTCAAAAATATCCCGAAAATTAGTCAAGTTAGCTTATCTCCTTTTACAACTTCTCCACAGAAATGTTTTTCCCTTACCAACAAGCAGGATTATGCCCACATAAAAATGGAATCTGTAGCCACATATTGTTGGGATCACAGTCAGCTTGTGAGTCTCTCACACACTCGTCGAAGGTCTTCGTGTCACCATGTTTCTTTCTGATGAGGTGAGGTCGAAAATTGTCACCGTATCGGAGAAAATAGTAATAGGAGACGAATCTGTCGAGAGGTTTTCGAAGGAGATTTATGTACAATGGAGTTTGTTTTACACCAAACCTGAAAAAATTATTGTGCTCATTATGTTAAAATATTGATCTACTTGAAATATGTATTTGAATTTGGCAAAATAGCTCACTTATTAAAATTTAAAAAAGCCATATGTCCATGGTAGAACGCTGGTTTCATAGAATCCCACTGGGTAATATTATTTACAAATTGTACCTGCAACAAACAATTTAATAATTTGCTCTGCTTGATTCTTTCTATAAAATGTGATGCAATTTTTTAATGTCAGTTTCAGCATTTTCAGTGAAAAATTACACCTATTTTCTATCTCATGATCGCAAATTTACAAGTAAATGCATTTCTTAAATAAAAAATATCTATTCTCACAAAAATTAATAAATTGATCATTGTAATTGAGAAAGGCACAATTACAGTACCTGATTAGCAAGAATGAGTGTGTGCATATTATTAGTGACATTAATATGCAGAGTATGAAATTTGTTTTGTTTGCATATATCGTAAACAACACCAACGAAGCTGGTCGAACCAGTTTTAGGAACCCTATTGTATATCACGATGACGTCATTTGATTTTGATAGTTTCTTCTCAGAATTAGCTTCAATAGCCGCATTCTTCAGTTGATTCTGCACTCTCGTTACCGTTTCCACTGTAAACAATTAAAAATTAGAACATTTCAATAATATCTAGATTCACTTGAGCAGAGTAAAGTGGTCAACACTAAAAACACACCCAACAATTTGTTCTGCTCCTCCAGCGAGTGTATCTTCAACTTAAAATATATGATAACGATAATCAGTAATATTCCCAGCATCCATTGAGTCTGGAAATTCCTTAAAATCATTTTCCTCTATAATGTTTGGATGAATACATAACCGCTTTACTCTACTGTCAGTCTCGAGGCGACATCACTTCGTCTTCTTCTTTTTTTTGTGCTGCTCAAATTCACTACGGCAAACATATTATATGTAGGCTATATGAAAGAGATAAAGAGGTATTTCCTCTCTCTGTTCCACAGTCATTGAAGTGGAAAAGTCTCTTTGCCGAATCTCTCTTTGACTTTTGTGAATTATTATCGAATTCGTCACAGAAATATTTCACAGATCGAGTACTATGATTTAATTTATGTTATGCGGGCAAACAACAGGTACAATGACAAGTGTTTTGACTGTACATAGGTAATTGACTGGAAAACCTTAGGGTGAATTCGGTGTAGCGATTGGTGGTGGAAAAACATCAGCAATTGGTTGGAAAGGGGGGGATGACAAATCGGTCGATGTGTGTCTCGATTTTTTGTCGATATTTAGACATGATAAAGTGACGAATATCCATTAGAAATTGTCTATGGGGATTAGTCCGGGTATGATTACTTTTATTTGGATTTTTAATACTCTTTTCGAGGGGCTTTAGCCCGATGACTGTTGTTTCGCAATTCAATTAATTTTCGTCATTTCGTCGCCTGATGACTTGTATTGTGAAAAGGCCCTAATGGTGATGTCTTGAATTTCACACTGGGCACAAGCACAAGTGAATTGAACACCGATCGAGGAACGTTCGAGGGTTACCGTGTCGGTTTATCCTTGTCTCCAGGTAGGACTTTTTTTTAAATATTTTTTACTTTTATCCTCTATTTTATCTCAAGCTTGGTGATCACTTTTGGGGATCGCCTTGACATTGTATTTGAATTTATTTTGGTTTACTTTGGCGAACCGTTCATTCATTGTTGAATTGTAGATTACGATGATGAATGGAGCTATTTACGGAAATGGAAGATCGGGTTTTTAGGGATTCTTGATTGATTTCCATAACCAGGTTTTGTTTGTTTATCACAGAACGGGTGAGAAATGGCTGCACCAGCACAAGGGGTCATCGATCCGCCCCTCAATGATCCAGTCACGAAAGCTGTTGTTGATAATATTATGGGTAATTTACCCACCAAAAAACCACTCGTGAGGTGCAATGATTGCGATCTCTGCTTCACCAGTCAGACTGTTCTGGACGCCCACTTACAAGGCGCTCGACATGCAAAACAGGTAATTTTTTTCAGCAATTAGGTGCAGTGAACATTCTTGGCTTTTTAAAATATTTTTTTTTCCATGATTTATTATTATTTTTTATAAGAATTTATTAAGGACACATTCCCTGAGCATATGTAATCAAAATTTTTGTGTTGAATCAATGATTTTTCTCTTATATGATGAGAATTCCAAGATATTTACACTAATAGTTGTGTTTTAATTTATAATTTAATTTGAATTTTTAATTTTTGTTTATAATTTAATGGTTGTTATAATGATGGATCCATTTGCGTTGGAAGAATTCTTGAAATTTGGGCGTTCAGCTGTGACCTATGAAAAGCAGAACTTGTTAAAAGTTACAATGATTGTTCTTTGGACTTTTGGAATATTAAATATATAAATAAATCCTTATAATTCCAGATAAGATCAAAAGTGATAATGGCTACCCTCGAAGAGACGAAGGTTGCGTTCACAAAGGACCAAGAGGCAAATGGGCTAAAGTGTAATGTCTGCAACGTGTGTCTTAACTCGATACAGCAACTCCAAACACATTTGAATGGTATATTAATTCCAGAAGTAATGAGTTTCTCTTATTCTGCATTAATCTGTAATTATAACGAATTTTCTTGCAGGGAATCGTCACAAGAAGAAAGTGATGAAAGGTAATAATCCACAGAGGGACAGAAGTTCACTATCCTATGGTTTTAGATGTAGACGAACAATGTATTCGGACAAGTTAGTCCACAAGAATGATATGATACTCATTTATGGCTTGATTCTTTTCACTTTCGCATGTCTGCTGTTTCTACTGACATTTGTTTTTCATCTTTACATTAATTAATTAATTTGCCTAGTGCTTCGAATGATTTGCTTTATTGTGCTTTGCTTTGTTATTTATCATTAACTTTTGAATGATGAATGTGTTCTTTTTTTACTCCATTACTTCGTTGAAAAGCTTTACTTGTTATGCTGTTGATTTGTTTGTTTATTTATTATTTACTGTGTTAGTTTTCTATTTATTGTGAGTATTTTCGAGTTAACGGAGGCCAACTATTGTTTAGGCATTGAATAAATCAGGGATGCGCAAGCCTTCCGTATAACTATTACTCTATTTCTCTTCTTTTCCTTTTCCATTCTACTCTTTCTAATTAGAAATTCATAATTGTATTCTTCTGGGGTCAGGATAATGTGGAACTCTTCGGGTTTCACACTGATGCAAGGTTCTCTTCCAATAATGTTGATTCTTTTTGTGGGCATGAATGTAGCTCAAGCTAATTTATTATCACAAATGGCATATTTCCCAGTTGTGATAGATAGATAGTGTTGATTGCACATTGATGCTTAGGTGCATGGACTGAAGCCGAGGAGGATAAGGAACAGGAAACTGCTGCTCCTGAACCAGAACCTGCACCAACTTCAAAGACAACAGGGGGTCTACTCTCTTGTGAGGCCTGCAATAAGTTCTTCAATTCCAAAGCTCAGTACGATGTGGTGGGTATAAATCATCCATTTCCTAGCGACATCCTAAATCACGGGATCACATCCTGTGGCTATAATGATTTTTTTTTCTCTTTTTTTGTTATCCATGTCTTTGAGGGATTTCTTATTATCTACAGAGCGAATATCTGTGCAATTAACGATTAGTTCTTGAAGATATTCGGTTTCTCCAAAAGGTCGTCCATCACGTATCTAGCGTGTAGTGAATATTGTTTATTTTCATCATTTTTCCGCCCGTTAAATTCTTTTAATAATCTCTCACAAAAAAAACTAGTAATTGTCACATGAACCTCTTTATTTCAGCACATTGCGTCCAAGAAACACTCACAAAAAATAAATCGTCCAGGTGCTTTGAAGACAAAGAAGAGACGATTTACCCCATACAAGAGAAAAATCAAATCCAATGGCAATGGTTCAGGTCAAATGCATCTATCCAACAGCTTCGTATCCGGTGGATACGTCTACAATTCATAGATGAACACTTAATTTCTCTTTGATCCACCTGAATTTCTTTTTTCTCCTTTTCCATTCTTTTGGAATCCACAGTATTACTTGCATATTAATAAACAGGAGAAATGGATAATCTCTCGTGATTCAACTGCTTCTAGAGTCAATCCATAGATTAAATTCGTGTGTAATCAATGATCAATGGATATTCGATGTTATTTCGTGAATAGCTGATTGGAGTTTTATTCAGGATATTCTATTCGAAGATCTCGAACATGTACTCGGTATGCAGCAAGTTTCAGACTGAAAATTATACAAATTATAATACTTTTACTCAATTAAAAAATTCCATCCTGTTTGACAACTACTTCTTGAGCTTCAACTCAAGTGCTTTCAATTATTGGTTATTGCGTGGGTGGTACGTGGCATAATTAAATTTCATTCATATGATTCATTAAATTATCTGATTGAAATGTAAAAATATGTTATTTATTATCGTATTTATTATCTGTCCCTTCCTCTCCCTGCCAAGCAGCAATCAACTAGAGATCTGTTTAACCTTAGCAATTGCGAATTATAAAAAAATTAACGAAACAAATGAAAATTTCAGTATAAAGATAAGGATGACTATTGCGTGAGAGCAATTGCTTTACAATTTTCCTATAAATTATGTAAAAAATGTACCTTGACTTTGTACGGTTCCAGCAGTCGCCTCAACTCATCATTCTGTCGACGAAGGGAGTCGGTCTCTTGCCTTAATTTTTGCCTATCCTTCAGTATCTCGTGATATTTATGCAATCCTATCATCAATGCATCCCAGAGTTTTTCCTTATTCCTGGAGAATATTTCCCTGTATCTCCTCCAATACTCTGTCATATCCTCGGCTGTTATACTTCTTGAGAGAGTAACGCTCTGCGATGTCTTGCCATCACCCCAGATGGTTTCAGCTCGTTTCGCCTCGTGGTACTTCTCCACAAATTCCCGCAGGGCTTTTATGACGTTTTCAGAGTGGATCTGGAGTAAATGGCCTATGGTGCATGTTAGTGCTGGTTCTTGCGGGTTTGGGACAACTAATTCAGCAGAGAAGTGACTGCCTGTTGAAAGCTCTGATGACGATGAAGTAGAATCAGCGGTTGGTTTTTTCACATCTTCGTTTGGATCGGGCAAGTGTTTTATCACTTGTGTGATAAGGCGTATTGATTTCTCATCGAGATCTTCGTTGCATAAACATATGTTCTTGTCTTCTGGCTCTTCTGGTGGCATCTGCTCCAGGAGTTGACGTTGTCTTTCTTCCTCGTCACAGAGTGGGCAGTAGGCGTAAGGCAGGAAGAAAATCATCAATAAATTTACTTGATCTTCTGATTCTATGCTGAGTGCCTGAAATGATCAGTCGCTTTGTCATTATTCCATCAATACGAAGATCAAGTTTTATTTTTCATCAGGTGTTGTGCAATCAATAAATTTATAGTCTTAAATAAAATATTTTCTACTAATGAGATGATTTGTGGAAGGTTTTCGTTTAAAAATAACCAATAGGATGTGATTTTGATGGAAAGAAAAAATAAAAATTTGAGAAAATCAAAATTGAGAATCACTTGGAAGACGTTGTCGAGACGAATAACTACTTGATCGTCGTTTACATGGGTCGAAAGGAGGTCCCTCATTTTGTCTTCGATCAAAAAACCAGTTTGATCAGAAATTTGTCTCATTATGTGGTTCAGTAATTTTTGCTCCTGAAGTTTGCGCTCTGGAGATATGTCTCGCTTCTCAGGAGCGCAAAGTTTCATTATTTCCTTATGATCTGCTTCATCTGTATTATTTAGCTTGTAAATATATGAAAATTATAAATTTGTAAAAATTCCTAATCTCTCCGCTTTTAATTACTTTGTTCGATAATTTGCATTGCTCTGGAATATGAAGGTAAGTCCTCCTTCTTCAACAGTTTTTCCTCGGGTGGCTCCCAGTCCAATCCCAGCATTTCTTCGTAAATAATTTGATCAGCCGTGAGAATCTAAAATCAAACATTAGAATGCCCCTATTAAAATGAAGCAGAGCGATAAGCAGTTAACACACCTTATGAAGCAGTTGATCCGCGGTTTTAGTATTCATCTCCCAAATCTGCATGAACTGCCTGTCATTGACAAAGCTGAAGTGTCGAGATTTGGCCTCCAATTCCTGAATATTTTTGTGTGCCTTCAACACTTGTTCCTGCAGCTTTTCAATTTTTAATTTTGTGTTCTCCTCCAAATCCATGTAACTCTTTTTCAAACTGTTGATGGTATCGTGGAGTTTATTGATTCTCTTCTTCTGCTGATTTTTTACAATAGTATTTTCCCCCTCCCTCCGTTTCAATACGGCGTAACTGTAATTTAATTTTTCTATATTCATCGTGCAGATTGCCTGCATATTCTGGACCTCCTGTTGAAGCTTCTGGCACTCAGTCTCGAGCCATATTTTCTGAGATCTGTATTGCTCCTGATGTTCTACCAGGACCATCTCCATTTCTTTGTCGTATTCCCTCATTATTTGTTTTCTGCGTTCCACACCGTCGATTTCGTTCTGCTGTCGTTTTTCGTACAGATTGTCCCATTTTTTTGTTATCCTTTCAAGGAGAGCACTCCTCTCGTCGATCAGAGCATCTTCAATCAGGACTAATTCACGTCTGTATGCCTTCGACATTATAGTTATCTGAGAAAAAATTGACAACGTCATATTAATGTGATCAATGCATTCAATCGATTAATCAATCAGTCAATAAATTTTCACATTAAATTGATTGGTTTCTTTTTTTAATTTGTAAAGAGAGTATTTTTATTTAGTCTCGATTGGTTCTCAAGTGTGATAATTGCTTCACCTGCATTTCAATCCTCTCAATAAGCAAATTGATATCATCGCTCTGCTTCTTCTGATCATTCTCAAACTTCAAGTCAGCATTTTCCAGTTCTTGCTTCAATTCGGATATTATGACATCCTTCTGAACCAGTACTTCATTACACTTGGCCGTTTGGGATTGAATGCCAGCGTGGATGTCTAGAGGATCCTTGGAAGCTAAAATAGGTGCCCATTTCGAGTTTATTTCCTCGTATTTCTCCAATGAATCAGCAGCTTCATTCTCCAAATGCTCCAATAGGATGTTACGAGTGGTGATCTCGTCTTCTCTGCGAGAGACTTCACGTGCGTCATTAGCTACTCGAACATTCGAAATCTATGGGGTGACAACGCCAATGCAACTATCAGTAATAAAGTTTACAAACTGTAAGGTGCAAGGAAATTCAACGCATTCTAAATTTACAGATTTAGCAATTAAATAGCGCAAAATGGGCTGCGAAAATTCAGATATCAACCGACAATTTATCACAAATGAAAAGAAAAAATTTCAGCAATCTTTTATTAATTAGGAGAGTACGGAATTAAATAGTTTTATTCATTATTAACTTAAATTTAATTTTCGGTATTCACGTACTATTTGAAGGATTGAAAGTCAATGTTATTGAAGCCTCGACTAAAATATCAATCTGAACCGAATTGATTAAACTCACTATTTCATTCCCCTCGGTAATCAACTTCTGCAACAATTCTTCACTAGCATCAATTTGTTTTTCAGTTGCGGTTTTTTCAACGATTGCCTCATCCTCGGTTGGATCATGCCTCCTGCGAACCGTCAGACTCGAATAAAAAGGGGAACTTTTTACATTGAGAGCTATAAAAATACTCAAATTTACTTCTTTCGCGCTTCCAAGGTTCTCTGAATTCTAATCCTTCTCGCTAACTTCCGTTCATTCGGATCACTCGACGTGACAGATGGTTCTCCCAGCTTATCAATTCCACTGCACGATTGCATCTTCGTAAGCGGAATGAAAATTCTTTTCAATTACCGTCAATTTGAAAGCAACTCAATGTCAGACGTAAACATCAATTAAGGTAGATTGCGAGGTGGATTAAGGTTACCATAAACAGCCTGTTACCATTAGAAACCAGGCAGATCGATAATTCCTTCGCCCCGACAAGATGCTCCCACTCATTCCAAATAAAAAATTTGAAAAAAGTAGATAAACAATCCCGAAATTAAATAAATCTTCGCATCCCATTATCTGATTTAATCCTCTCGGTTGTCCACGAAAAAATCTATTAATATTTCAACTATACCTCTATAAATAAATGTAGATCATCTATACGGTTTGCAATCAATTAAATCTTCGCCAATGGTAACAAAAAAATGGATTGATGAAATTAAATTCTATTCCGTTAAAATTGAAAAAATTAAATTCTATTCCGGTTAATGAAATGAACTGCGTGCTCCTATAATACAATCGTCATGTGGCAGAAGTAAAGTTTCTAAAAAATCATCATTATAAAAGCTAGAATTATACAAAGTTGTTTGAAGTGTCAACGTTTCATTAAGTTATCGTGCAAACAAGATTTTTCCTACAAAATGTTAACAAGGCCATTCTAAAAAATTTAGTAATTAAATAATTTAGTAATAGAATGAGATACGGAGCATTCAGTATCTTTCTCACTATTGATTAATCTGTAAAACTGGAAACATCTGGTAAGAGCATCGAAGGACTTATAGCGACAAAAAATACTTCAGATATCGTGCCACCACCTCTGGGCTCCTCTCAATATAGCAGTTTATCTTAAACATCCACTAAAATCAAACTTCCTGGAAGTCATATCATTCAAATATCAAAAATTCCCGCTGCTCCATCAAAAAGGGCGCCGCCAATGAAAAATCGCTATGTGCTACTTCTCCTCCCCGACAATCGGCTCATTCCTTCGGATACAACGGCACCATTCGGTAAATTCCCCTTGAAACCCGACATATCCACCTAAAAAACGAACCAATAATCACCCCTCAATTGTCTCCGTAAAAAAATGCTAACCCCCCAAAAAAAACATCGACCACTGATGTAACTAACCCCAAGATCTCGAGCCCCAAACAATCTCAAAACAACCACCCCCAAAAACAAAAGCACCCTCACACCCCGAGAAAATCCCCGCTGATGGCCCCCCACGGAAAACTGTACCCTGAAACACAAGCATCCGCAGAGCGTCTGCGTGTAGCCCATGGATCGTGCAAAATATCTCTACTTCCCAGATTCAAATGAGGGAGAGACACAACCCGTCGAACTATTTTCCCGAAAAAAAAAAAAAAACAGAAAGAAAAAAATGCCACTAAAACGAGAGCAACAAAGACCCCCGCTCCCAACAAAAGAGATAGTCCTCAACAAGGAGAGTGCGAGCGGGCGATTGAAGCCGTACATCTCGAAACGAGAAAACAAGAACCCAAAAAAAAAGAGATGGCCTCAAGTAAGGTGGAGAGGGGCTCTCGGGGGGTTTAGCTCGTTCGACCCGTTATCCCTCCCTCCGCCAACCGCCTGTCCCCTTGTCCCCCTTTACACCGTTCCACCATTCCCCCTCAACGGGTGAATCCCCACCTGGCCTTGCCCGTCTTCCCCCTACCCCACCGACAAAACATAATGGGAAATGCGCGCGCGCCAAATGCCGCGTCGACGCCATGAAAACCCCTTCGCACACAAAACCGTTTGTAGAAGCCTTCTTGATCCTCGCCCTTCTCGTCGTGTCCCCCCTTACTCGACCGATGATTGTGGATGTGTGGACAGTAAATAGGGGGGAATCAGGATCTCAGTGGGGATAAACCTCTTGTCCCCCACCAGCACCACTACCACCACCACCATCACCAACACGAAAAGCACAGGCGAGGCAACTGGCGACTGGCGAGCGACGAGGGCGACGAGGGCGACGAGTATAGACCAGTATAGACGTACAGATGCCTGGGGAAATGATATTGGCCAGTGTGTGAGAGATGTGAGAGACGGAATAACGAACCAACACAGACAAGTGAAAAAGGTAGACTCATTCTGCTCCCCTGACTTACCCCCACCAGTACTTAAAAAGCAAGTTGGCTAGCGAGCCACACAATCCCGCCACGGTGACGTCACTTCGTGTAGTGTAGTGCAGTGAGAAGGAGCAAAAGCAAGCTCCGTCCGTGTACATGACCCAAGTTTTCAATGATTTTTTCATGATAAAAAATCAATTAACGTGAGTTGTTACTGAAACAGTTACAAAGTACCAACGATAGAGCCAAAAGCCCGCGCTCCATGATTGTTGATAAAACCCAACGACATAAACAACAGTTGATTGAATTGAGTTAACGTTTAACTGTTGTACTGAGGGGTTATTATTTTTTCATTTGCTTTATTTTCGTTGGGTATCGTGTGGGCTTTTGGGGAGATAATGTGCTCTTGGTTGGAGTAAACGAGTTAACAGTGGATATGTGAGTTTGGAGTCTGGATTAATATCAGGCCCCACATATTGTTGATGGAAGTTGGCCGAGTGATATAGAGGGTTTTATTGTTTATGATAAGGGGGTGAGGAATAGTAGGAGGGTGGTAATTGAGTGATGGTTAATGGTGGAAAATGGTACGGTTCATTGGTCGTGTGTCGTTGTGGCCAATTTGGTGGTGTGATGTGGTGATTAGGGGCTTTTAGATTAGTGTTGTACCATGTGGCGTTCAGCAACGGTTCAACTTGCTGCTGCCAGTGGTGTATTATCCCACGACACGTCGGTGGTTACGGCGCTGTATTATCGTGAGCGCTTAACCCTCGTACCATTTTCTCATCGCCGCTGCCACAGCCCCCGTGGGCCACGGGGTCACCATCGCATATCCATCGTGTGATTTTCAACAAATTATCAATAAAGTGCAAGTGTGTGGATACCTCATTTGTTCTCCCCCCCTGTCCCCCCCCAAAACCCCCAAACC